GGATGAGTACTGCTTCCTGAATGCGCTCCTTCTCCTCCCCAACCATCCCCACACCTGGGACTCCCCACTCTGCCATCCCCCTCCTCACTTGGCCCACCTCTTCGCTCATCCGAACTCTCCCCACAAACTCCCTCCTCCTCACTGGTTCCACCTCTTCACTCTTCCGAGCCCCTGCCCTTCCGCCGCCTCCACTGACTCTTTTTCGATCACATTCACCATATTTACCACAAATATTGTAGTCCCACGATCATAGCCCCTCTCACTCACCCCCATCTCCTCACTCATCCCAGTCYCCTTCCCGTTCCCTCTTCCATTTCTCCCAATCCATCTACATCACAGTCACCGATAACATTGAACCACACAAGGCCTTCTATCCACATAAATGACCCGAAAAAAGAGCTTCAACGATTACCTGYCCGTWTAAGTCAWAAAGGACACACTCCATACAGGATCAGTGGCCAGACACGACCAGTTAAGGCTAAGTTGAGACACCTCTCAACTTAGAACAAGGAAGATAGTAACCARGGATTTCAACAAAAAATAAACTACCAAAAAAAGAAAGCCACAATGAAGCTGGGATAYGCAAAGGCGAGGGGAACAGGCTCCCTGCTGTTCTACCAAGGCGCAATGCGACATAATCTGCTCAGACAGCTGGGGACAGGACYTTACACACRGACGRCGATGCTCAGGGGGAACAGAATGATGAAAACACAGAATTCCAGGGAAGAGGGAACGGTGGTAGCCATGCAAATTGAATCGACTCAAAGAGTTTCAAACTTTCAGGTARCGCWGGAGGGAGACCWGTCGYAKGTAAACAGAACAGATACCCTGCTCCTCCCCTCTCCAGCCCCCACCCCTCCCCTCACGCATTCCCAACAGTCCCAACAGTTTCCACCCTTGCCAACAAGGGTAGCCTTGGGAAATCCATCAGCAGACCAACGAAGGGAAACCCCGCACAACCAGGATATCATGATGAAAGACGTGGAGGAGGAGATGCTGACAGAGGAAGAAAAGAGGTCAGAGAGATCAGAATCTCAATAGACTGCCACCACCAGGGTCACATCCCTCTCAAAGGGTCAATCCCTCCCAGCCAACAGGGCAACTCTCATGGGCAAAGAAAGTCAGGGAAAGTCTAGAAGATAAATCCCTAACCATTGTGAGACCATCAGTCAGCGATCCCAGCCTGCCAGCAAAGGAAATAAAAGTCCCGTTGAGAAACTTAACATCTGCAAGGGCATACTTCCTTACTCTATTCCTCCTGCCCTCGGAACAGAAAGTGGTAGACCAAGGGGGAAGGAAGATGCTGATGAAGTCCTACCCGGCAGACAAGCTGGCTCAGAGGGAAGCAGTTTACACGAAACATGCCAGTAACTGGATCTTCTACGATGATGATGCATACCGATCAGTGAATGATAAAATCAAATGGTTGTGTAAGAGACTAGAATCGTTGAAAGACAGTCCGGAAGCAGTGCAAAAGTTTTTCCTCATCCAACCTGTGACACCCACAATCTTTACAATGCTCAGTCTGTTTGAACAGGATAAACGCAGAATGGATGGATGGAAAAAAATGCAGTGGGACAAGTCAGACGTTCGTATCTACCCCTGGATGCCAAAGAAGATAGGCCCGCAATAGAAGAGAGATCAGTTAATGAAAGATTACTACTGGGTAGAATTCAGGCATATCGCGGTAGAAATACAAGCGGCATTCATCCATGACTTTGGCCAACAATACAAAATCATAGATTTCATCGATCCACTGCCGACATATGTGGCCAAAAGAGATGATTATCTGATGATGGCATTGGACCTTCCCAAAGACCAGCCTTTCTCTCTAGACGACATAATCCCATTCAAAATGGGAGGAAGGCTGTATCAAATTCACATAGCCCACAAATTTAGACCATGGTGCTATAAGTGCAGGGCTTATGGACACCTAAGCACTGAGACAGCCTGCCCACAACACCCCCAACAGACAGCAGGAACAGAGGGGCAACTGAAAAAAGACCCTCTTCGTGCAAATAGATGGATCCCAAGTTCTCCAGGATACGAGGGATGGGTCTACGTGGATGACCAGGCAACGGGACGACAACCCATCGGGTGGACATGGGAAGGGAGGGGAGATCCACGTCGGACAGCACGCCCGCCAGCAGATTGGAAACCACAGTAGCAACAATCCTCCGGACGCAATCCTAGACTACAGCAACAACCCAAACCCAAACCCCCAGGTTCAGCAGGAGGAGCAATAGGAGATAAAACAGGAGGAGAGAGGAAATAAAGCACAAACAAGCAATCTCACGAGCATCAAAAGCCACGTCAGAATGGGGGTCGTTTTGGTCCTAAGGCTGGTCTCTACATCCCCACGGGCAACCGGTTCAGCCCTCTGGATAAAGAAGGAGGGATGGAGGAAGGGGGGAAAAAAGAAACAAGAGAACAACAAAACCGCAAGAGAACAGGGCTTAAAAAGGTAAAGAAATAATGAAAAAAACGGAAGCTTCGTCAAGTAAGGCACCCGATGAGAAAGGTCCAAAGCCAATGGACCTGGACCCGCTGAAGGATGCGTTTGGGGTCCAACCAATGGAAGTGGACCCTATCCCAGGAGCACCCACACCTCCGGAAAAGACCACATATGTTGGGACTGTCCAAACACAGTCAGAGGACCGAAGCTCAGATCTACGAAAAATAGCGGAATGGCTGTTGGATAATCTCAGACTCAGATTCCAAGGACACTCGGAGGAATTCTGGGACGACACCTACAGACATCTGGTCCCATTACTAGAAACCAGTTCAAGCCTTCGAATAGCACTGGATCAAGGCCTACCGGAGGGTGTAACTTGGAATCAAATGTGCCACCATTTATTGTCAATAGTGGCAACGCGACTCTATACCCCCCCAGGATAAGAACAGGTACTTCATACGAAAAAAGAACCCACAGCACCACCAGTAGCAATTATACCTACCTCAGAGGAGAATGGAGAGCGCTCAGACAAAGATTCAAGCAGTACCACGGGTCCAGGGAATGAGAAGTCGGTAGTCATCAAAGGATTAGGGGCAGTTAACGAAGGAATRRAGTTTTTTWWRAAAATGCTAAMCCCYACTAATCACACARCAAAACAGGCAAAGGACAACTGCACCATGTCCACAGTTGCAGTAGGGGAAAATTTGAACGCACAGGCGGCACAWCCAAAAGCAGYTCTTCATGTCTCTCACTCCGCAATGCAGAATATAGACACATCCTTGGAGGGACAACCAGCACAACCAGAGGAGGTCCAATTAAGGGAACTGGCTCGGGACCAAAAAGGAGAGGAGGCGGACAAAGGACAGGGGATGAAAGAAGAAGAGGGAGAGGAGGGAGAGGGGAAAGAAGGATCACCAGGGGGAGAAAAGGAGAAAGGAAACACCCCAATGAATGGGGAGATAGGGGAAGGGGACAGCAGGCCTGAAAAGGAACAAGGGAACAGACTTAGAAGCAGTGAAGGGGAGACAGGAGAGAAGGAAGGGAAAGGGTGSAAGGGGGAAGATCCTTGGATGGAAGTGACTCCAGAGAGAGGAAAAGGGGAGGGGGAAGGACACCAAGGAGAAGAGACTGGGATTGGAAATCCGCTRCTGGAATGGGAAGACACCCCACCCAAACGAGTAGAAGAAGTGAYGGCCACCTACAAAATCAAAAAAGTGGTTTCGAAAGTAACAGGGGAAAATAAATTTATGTTGCTTCCGCAGGCAAAAGAAGACCTCGCTGAGAAACAGCAAGAGGAGACTATTCARCAATCAGAGGGGGGAGGAAACCATCAAGAAAAAGAGAAGATAATTCAGAAGATAAATCAGAATAACAAGACAGAGTTGATGACTGACAACAATACTCAGGGGTCAAAGGTAGACAATCTCCAGATGGTAAGAAYCCAACCTAATGGATTGCAGAAACACCCCTCTCTTCCTCCGCTTCCACCTCCAGACGACATCATCGTCAGCAGAAGACAAAAATTGCAAATTTTATTATCAAAAGGATATGCAGAGCTGGCGCTTTCTAAACCAGGTATTTTGATCCTACCAGTTAGACACAGCAAAGGAGAATGAGAAATCGGCCTTTCTGAACCATTAGGATCGACACACAAAGAAGTAACGGTATATGGATCACCTGTTGGCCTTCTTTCACCCATATTAGGAAAAATGACAGGGGAAGCTCGCTTTAAAGCTGAAATTGCTAAAGTAATTCAAGCGCAGCTTCCCCCAGGGGGGGTGGAGGTGCTCATCCTCTCAGCAGACACTCATCAGGTGTCGATGACAGATGTGTTCCTTCGTTATGAACATACAAAGGCTGTTGATCTACGGTGGTACACTCCAAACATGCTAGCTGAGATTCAGCAGTTGAAGATTAAGGCAGGAGAATTCTGGTCAGAAACTGATGTTCTGATCTTACTCTCCCGCCTTTTGAAAAATGGACAAGCGTTACTTGAACAAGGAGGTAAGCTGGACTCAGGGCATTGGTTGACCCTGTGATCACTCCCAGAACCTGTAAATATCTTCGGCATCACTAAACACTACAGTTAACCACAGTTAACAGATAATAAATAAAGACAAGATGGAAGGTATCAATACAGTGGACGTGCTCTATAATAGAAACAAGGAATGAAAGTCTCTAAAAAGAGCAGCAGATTTAGATCTYCGGTCRCTTAATSTGAACGGCCTAGCGACTGCCAAACCACAAAAAAGACAGGCTATCTATGAACAACTCAAAGGAGTGGAAGGCAGAGACTGGCCGGATGCCATCTGTATACAAAAGACTCACTTGATGGACAATGCAGATCATCAGCACAAACATAAACAGATATGGCCTCATCAAGCCTTTAGAGCACACTCCCCRCGACCAGRAAGCGCAGGGGTAGCCATYTGGATCCCACCAGACTCAAGAATTGATCCCGTATACTGGGAAGCAGACAAGGAGGAGGGGAGATGGGTATTTATACTAGCAATGCTGGAATTGGAGGTGATAACGATCTTGTGCGTGTATGGCCCAAATGAGGTAGGGGAAAAGAGAAGGTTCTTTGAATCCATAAAGAACCGTCTCCCARYAGGAATCYYAGTCGTAATAGCAGGAGATTTCAATGCAGYYCCCAACAGACATCTGGATCGTTGGCAAATCCCCTCTYCCTGTMCAGCATATATTGAGATAGAYGAGCAAATCATTGAGGACMTGTGCCAGTCTTTACACACCTTTGATGCTTATAGACGCCTCTTCCCCACAAAAAGAACCTACACGTGCTTTAGAAGGGGCCAAATGACAAGAACCTCGAAATCTCGCATAGACCTCATACTATTGTCAAAAGAGTTGGA